CACACGAAAAATGGGGGCAAAAACAAAAGTGTTGTGTTTATAATTTTGTTCAGTGTACATATATATATATATTGGATGTTTGATATATAAGCACATTACCAGCACATTACCAGTCAAATTTTAGAATAATTAAGTTTTTTTTTTTTAAGTTTTTGAAATTAATAATATATTTTAATATTTAATTTATTCCTTTAAAATGTAATTTATTTATAATCTGCTATACCAGGGTTATTATAGTTAACTAAAACCATTAAATACAAAAAAAAAAATGTAAATATAATTTTAAAAACTTATTTCAGCTAGCTGCCAAAACAAAACTTCTCTTTTTTATTTAGTTAAACTTAATCTACTAAAATAAATACAACTAAAACTGAAATAATAAAAAAAAACATTATATAGACAAAAACTATACTAAAAATGACAAAAACACAACAAAATTGCTAAAACTTTCATTTAAATTAAAATGTTAATATATATATATATATATATACAGTATATATATATATATATATATATATATATATAATTCAAAATATTAATTAAATTAATATAAATTTAATAGTATGCTCAATTGCTTAATTTTATGCTCAAATAACACTAAGAGCTACGAGTTATGGTTTTAGAACAAACCCTAAGTAGAATGTTTGAAGAATATTAAGACACCAGTCAAGTGATTTTACTTAGAAACTTCCTTCTGTTGAACAGAAAACACCTCTCTCTTCCTCTCTCTCTACTCTTCTTCTTGTGGTGTCATGTTCTACAAACCAGTGCATCGGAGCAGTTCTGACAGAGGTAGTTATATCAATGTGATATTTATCACCTCAGATAAAGAAGAAATTAGTGTGAGAATGAGGTCGTACATCACTGCAGGTTAGATTAGGTGTCAAAGGAAAAAATCAATGACAAGACCATGTTTGCCTTTCTCAGACGCAGCAGAAAGTGGCAAAAGGCAAAGTCGCCTCGGGTCGACAACGCCACCGTGACACTTTGCCTCAAGTCCATGTTTGGTAGCACTAGGAAGACACACAACAGACAGTGTTGATTCAAAACACTTTATGTACATTTTTGGTACTTTGTTAAACTCGGTGGTCTTTTATAATTCTGTTTCCATGTAAGAATAATCCAAAATTTCATTCCACCCCGCCTAGCATGTGTACAGATCTTTCCCTCAGTCTTTAGTGCAGCTGTGACCCTGTCTATCAGCCCTACTTGTGTGCGTCGGTAAAAGGGAACGGAACAGATGGGAATCCGATTGAAGAGATGAGATGCTCCTAATTACCTAATGAGCAAAGGGATCAGCTTGATTTGTCGCTTTAGCACTCTTGTTAGGTTAAGTGGAGGGAATCGACTAAGAAGCCATCTTGGCTCAATCTATACTGATCTTTTGCTCAAATGTCTATGATGAAATCAGAGGTGAGGTCTAGGAAAAAGACACATTGTCTGAGATCTGCAATATGTTAGAAACCCTGAAACTTCTATAATTGGACAACTATATTTTGTTTAGTCTTTACTTCATTATTTAATTTATTTATTTTTCTTTTGATCCAATCCCTGTATGCTTTCTCTCTCTCTCTCTCTCTCTCTCTCTCTCTCTCTCTCTCTGTGAAACATAAGTAGAAATGTTGACATCTTTGCACAACACATTTTTTTTAATACAAGAACAGTTTATCTTGGCCACTTCTATGAACAAAAATTGTCACAAAGCACCTGTATTTAAGTCTGAACTATGTGAAAGATTACATACCTTCTAAAGCGATATCTTTACATTTTTTAAATCTCTCCTCCAAAACTCATCCATATTCATATTCCAATGCAAAAATTGATTCATATTTATTTAGTAGTTAGTTAGTTATTTATTTAGTAATTAGTTCGTTTTTTTTCATTTTTATATATATATATATATATATACACACACACACACATTTTTATTAATTATTAATTCGTTTATTTATTCAATTGTTCAGTCATTCATTTAAATTCTAATTCTAAAATCTCAGCCATTCATATTCCAATTCAAAAATTGCTTCAGAAGATTCAGAATTTGAAGTCTTATAAACTACATTTTTGTAACTTTTATGCTGTATGAAGTTTCTTCAGTTCTTTAAAAAATACAGCATATTGATTTGGAGCCAAATTCTATTACACTAAAACAAATTGTTAGTAAGGAATCCAGTCAAAATGACACTAAGTTCACGAATGGTGCAACACAGACAGTTACCTGTGGCTGTTACCCTTCGCAATCAGATAAAATATAAATTATGCTAACAAATCATCCCTCGACATTCTGCTCTGGGTTTTAATGCAGATTTTAATTAGCAGTCCTACCTAGATGCATAACGAACATAAAGGTCCATATGTTAATCCAGGCATCCTGTATGTCCTGAATGTATGCTATAACTAAGTTTTCAGCTTCTGTCACTATGAAGAAGTGTGAGTCCATGTAATCTGTGCTTTGAGGTGTGTGTTGTTACATATGGAGGCCGATCTCAGCATGTGCGCTGTGTTTTCCTCATCCGTTCTGCCGTATATTGACCATGTTGCACATTATAAATCAAAGGCGGCGAGGTTCTCCTGCAAGTGGCTAATGAAAGCTCATTTTTAACGTCACTAAATGGTCCTGACAAAAAGTCTAATGAGGAAATCAATAATTCAGCGATTGTTGTTCTGCTTATACTAATAGATCTAGGTTGTTGGGGCTGGGATCCAGTGAAGAGGGGGCCATTTTTTATTGCGCAGTTTCTGCACATCAGCGTGTTTTAAAAGGTTTTTCCCCAGCCACGGACCCCTGATTGATAATCTGTTGTGGATTTGCGACTGATGCCAGAATTTTGGTCGGATTCAAGTTGTGGACATTTAAGAAGTACTGCTTCCATTAATATAAATACCTGTCACCTCCCTTTTAGTTACAGAGGCACAGATTGATGTTAGAAAGATAATGCTTTAAAACAGCTTTTATGCACTTGTCTTTTTCTTTTTTTATGATATTGCTGAAAAGCCAATGCTTGTATCCCCCCCCCAAACTACCGTGCTAACAAATGCCATGGCTCTCTGCATGCTTGTCAGTCTACTCCTTCAACCCAAAATGAAAATTTGCTGAAAATGTACTCGCCCTCAGGCCATTCAAGATTTAGATGAGTTTCTTCATTGGAACAGATTTGGAGAAATGTAGCATTACATCACTTGCTCACCAATGGATCCTCTGCAGTGAATGGGTGCCGTCAGAATGAGAGTCCAAACAGCTGAGAAAAACATAACAATAATACTAATAATAATCCGCAAGTAATCCACATGACTCCAGTCCATCAATCAATGTCTTGTAAAGTAAAAAGCTGCATGTTTGTAATAAACAGATCCATAATTAAGGTGTTTTAACTTTAAACCCTAGTTTCTGGCCAAAATATCAGTCCATAATCCATAATAACGTTTCCTCCAGTGAAAATAAATCCTTCCCCTGTTGTCCTCTCACATCAAAATCCATTGACATATTTGTTTAGAACTGTTTTGGATTGTTTTTGCTCAGAAACAGAAGTGCATATTTCTCTCCTGAGTCAGACGAGACTTTTTCATTGGAGAAAGCAACATTATGGCTAGAGGACTCATATTTTAGCCAGAAGCAATGGTTTGAAGTTAAAATGCCTTAATGATTAATTCGTTTTTTATATAAACATGCAGCTTTTTGCTTCACAAGTTGTTAATTGTTGAGTGGTGTGGATTACTTGTGGATTATTGTGATGTTTTTACAAGTTGTTTAAACTCTCATTCTGACGGCACCCATTCACTGCAGATAATCCATTGGTGAGCAAGTGATGTAATGCTAAATTTCTCCAAATCTGTTCTGATGTAGAAAAAACTCATCTACATCTCGGATGGCCTGAGGGTTATGCATTTTTAGCAAATTTTAATTTTTGGGTGAGCTGTACCTTTTTATTGTTTTCATGCCAGTTACTGCCACATCCTTCATCTCCTTTATTTTACTTTAACCAGATCCCATTTTTCTGCTTTGGATTGTGTAATTCTCTAAATCTCTAAATTTGGTCCCTGCTGTAGAAGGTTCAGGTGTGTGTGTCTGCTGGTAATGAAAACAGATGGTGGTTTGTTCTGGTGAGGTCACTGATCATGATCCTGGTCCCAGAGAGACTTTGTGTGGGGTGGGGGACAGGGGTCCGGCTCCACAGCCCACTCGTAATTGAAGGGGCAGCTAGATTACCCTCTCTGAACCCTAGCTGGGCTCTGTGATGGTAGGGGTTTGCGCCATGTGCTTCAGTTTTTGAGTCATCCTGGATATCTATCATTTTCATGCCAAGATGAGGACCAGTCATTGTTGGTTACTTTAGGTTATGCATTTCTCTAAAGCATTCATTTTGATTTTCATTTTGAGCCAGCACAGATGCACTAATATTAAAATTCTGAACATTATTTTTAATATTTCAAAATGAACATGTACTGGATTGAAGCAACTTTGGTTTGGTTATCCATACATCATTTTATCATAGTATCAAATATGATGCATCAGGCTTTCAAGGAACATTTATTTGTTCATCTCTTAATCATCATTGTTATGCATTGCATTATATGTTTGCCCCCACTATAAAAACTGCAGCTTTGATTATAAAATTAAGCATTTAATTAAATACAATCTTACCAAGACATATTGTTGAGAATTATAGAGTGATGACAATTGATATATTAATGTGCATTTTATGTAGGTAGTCTGTTATACTGTCATAAAGATCTCATTGATTTACATTCGAAGCTATCAGAATTTGGCCATATAAATATCAGCATCTGAATCATAATCTAAATATTTCACAAAAAATTTTTTTAAATAGCATGCACAATAAAATATCCAATATCGACTGATTACCATTATGGTATCCATGTATTCTGCATCCCTACCTGCTCAGATATTTAACCACCATGCCTCAACACGTTCTTAATGATTGCATAACATGTAAATAATACTTTTTTCATAAAAAACTGATTTAACTTCTTGGTTTCAGGACGAAGAATAAGCTTTGGTACTTCGAGTTTGGAACCTCAGAGACCTTCTCGGCAACTTGCAAGAAGTTGCATGATTATCTTGAGGTGGAGGTAATGAGAATAAGTGAGAAACCACATGCCTTATCACCTTTCTAACACTTAAACACTCCCTGCTTAACCACTGGAAAG